CCATTTGTTAACTGAAGTTGCCCTTCTACATCTGCCTTGGTTCATGAGAAATTTTATTGTATGAGTGCAGATAGCTGATAAAGGAGGTGGTGATATAATTGCTATCATTTGGTTAAAAAACTGTGTAGTGCTTGTTGCTGTTTGGTTTGCGTATTTGACCCTCTTTCGCTAACATTCTTCTCTAAATGCCTTGATCAGGAAGGGGAAGAGGCAGAGGAGGTCGTCCTGGCGGGCGAACTTTTGGTAGGGGAAGCAATCCAGATGACAGAGTGAAGAGCAACGGCTTTCGTGGTATATGATGATACTAGAGCATGAATGGCCAGTCTTGCATACTAAGTTACGATTCTGCTGTTGGGATCGATAAGGAACGTGGTTACTGGTTAGCTTTTATATTTTTGATGTTATTGTCTTTCTATGGAAGGATTATATTGCTATCAGTTCTCTTTTCCCCGAGCATTTTGAGAGAGATTTTTCCCATCTTTCTCCTGTAGCTTAAGGTGTGTTAGTATTCTGCTCTTAATTCTTTTTTGTCCTGCAATTCTAGAGGCAATACTTGTATTTTTGGAGTGATGCAAAGTGTGAGAAATATTGAGCATGGCTGAAAGTATGGCCTATGGAGTTACGTAGTCCTCTATTTCTTTTTTCTGTGTTTTGTCATGATATCTTTATGGTTCTCATAATGAAAACAGTGAGTCGAGCAGAAAATCCAACATTCCCCTGTGCATACCTGCATAAGCTGCATGTATATGGGTGTTAAGACGTACAGAAGTAGTAAGCTGTTAATATAGATGATGATTCATGGGTATTATTTATGTAGCGTTTTGCCTCAAATAGAATAGATCAAGGTTCAAATTTCAACAGTGGCCAAAATACTAGGCGATTTCTTCTTATCTGCGTGAATTTTACTGGGTGGAATTACCTAATATCACAAATTGGCTCGATATGAGGTTCCTATTGACTCAAAATACTAGGTGATTTCTTCTATTGTCGTATCCATATTAACTCGGCCACTGTTGCAGCCAGAGCCGATTTAGTATGATAGAAGTAGCTCATTCAGCTTAACTTGTTTATATAGAACGCTTAATTCTTGAAATGAGCAGTCTTTAAGGAACAGGAAAGGTGGATCTGAAGCAGGGAAAGAAAGCTACCTTATTTATGAAAAATCAGAGGTTGACATAAAATGGGAACATATGCATAAATTTATAAAGGTGAATGAATTCAGTAGCTAAAATGTGTAAAGCCAAAATTGTAACTCGTTCTTGCTGGTTGTATCTCTTCAATATAAATTTTGATGGATGTACGAATATCCATTTGACACTTTTGGCTGCATCCTAAGTCAAGTCAAGGTGTAAATATTTATTAACGCTTAAACTTGTCAGCATTTATGACATTAAAGTATTCTTCGAGAGAAGGGATAATTTGCTATTGCAATTTGCAAGGAATAGAAAAGTTTAGATATTTTTGGAGGATAACTTCAAATATTTTTTTATAGTACTCTTTTTTTCAACTTCAATATAATATTGTCCAAACACCTACGTAAGATGACTATGTTTGACTCAATGATGCCCCATTATAGTTGAAAGGCGGTATAATTATTGTGCAGTTATATTTGTTCCTATATATCAATTCTACTACTCCTCTCTTACTTAATGGTGAAGGCAAATAGCCACAAGAAAAATTACGGAACGAGCTTCATTTGCCAGGAAAGAAGAAAATGATGGATTAGTGCCAATAGGATGTCCATTTAGAAGGTAAAGGAAGTAAAGAAAACTTGGAAGAAAAAGGGTCTCAATTTCTTAGGTGATAGCTACTCAGGACCCAGAGCCCAAGGTATAAAGATATAGACAAAAGAAGAGAATCTCGGACCGCACATCTTCACTTTGCTCTTGAAATAAACAGACAAAAATGCCCTCAGCGTTTTGATCAAGTGGTAAAAGCACAATGCATGGGGTATTGATTAGGTGGAGCGCAAAGGAGTTCGGAACCTAAATAATGTGTGTTTGGACACAAATAAGTGTATTAAAAAAAACGACATTTCTATATATAGCGTGCAACAACAACACGTTATATATTAACGGTAACGTCTGTCGTTAAGTATAGCATGTTACACACTATATGTGTCAGACGATTTGACTTCTCATATAGCGTGTTCGAATTAAACGCTATATATAGCGTTTTCAAATCATACGCTATATATAGCGTTTAATTTGAACTCGTCTTCTTCCTCGACAGAACCCTCCCCCATTTTTTTACAAACCCTCGCAACACTATATTGTTGATCAACATAGTTGGTTACACCCAAACCAACTTGTTGAAAGCACTTAATAGCATGTGGTAGATGGACCATTTTCCACAAGAGCATAACCTTCTAGATTCATTTACAGTATGTACATTATTACCTCGATTTTGATGAATAGCGGTGCGAACTTCAAAAACATTTCTTTCGTTATCATACTGCAAAAATGAATGCCAATGTGCTTGCCGTCTATATTTCTCAAATCTTTTCATAGGCACTGGCATAAATTCAACACCCTTTTTCCATCAATGATGTTGCAGCTGCAGACCTTTCAACAAACCTCTCCGCCATCTGCTTGAACGACAACCGCACCATGGCTGTGACAGGCAATCCTCTTGCAGACTTCAATAACCCGTTGAAAGACTCTGACACATTTGTAGTCAGAGTTCTCCATCGTCTGCCACCATCCGCATGCAATGTCCACTTTTCAGGGTCATGTCGCATTAACCAACGATAGGCTGCCTCGTCTTCTTGCCTGATATATTCCATGTGCATCCGGAATTTATGCTGTTGATGGTCTGTTGCTGCCATCCACATCAAATCATGAAGATCCTTGTTGGGATATGCCTTCTGAAAATTAGCTTTAAAGTGCCTAACATAGTAACGATGATAGACATAAGGTTCTTGCCATGCAGGCAAGTTCTCCACAGAACTTAAGATACCACCGTGTCGATCGGATATTAGACAAATACCGGAACGCTGTTTCACAACGTGCTCTTTCAAGTGGTTCAAAAATAGTGTCCACGTCTCTTGGATTTTATTGGCACAAATAGCAAAAGCTAGAGGAAATATTTGTCCATTAGCATTTACTGCCACGACTATCAACAGTTTGATATCGTACTTTCCATAGACATGAGTGTCGTCTATGGATATTAAGGGCCGACAATGCGAAAAACCATCAACTGCTGGTTTAAACGCCTAGAAAACGTAATCGAACATATATTCTGGTTTACCTGGAATACGCTCAAGCTTCCATTCAACAACCGTCCCGGGGTTAAACTGTTGCAGTGCAGCCATGTACCTAGGGAGATCTGCAAATGACTTATCCCAGTTACCATAGACTATTTCAAACGCTCTTTTCCGCCCGAAATATGCCTTTCTTTTAGTAATTGTATGGCAATGTTCCTGGTGGACTGCTGTAATGCACTCTTTGATTTTATACCTTATGGTTGCTTCGATGTATGGAATAAGAATAAGAGAAATCAAATCAATATCCAAGTTGAAATGATCCCCGTTGAATGTGTCCATTTCGCATCTGTGGGTGGGAATGTATTTACCCACTTTCCACACACCTGTCTTCTTCTTCATCGCAGGCAACATCCAATGACATGGCCAAAACCACATGCGACAAACAACCTTGTATACAACCGGACTTGACTCCCATACCGTCATCTCACAACACTCTTTTACGTTGTGCATTTTACAAGCCCTGCTTAGGCGCACTTTATCAGGAAAAAGCATGCCCTTTGCCAGCACCATTGGTCTAGACTCATCCCACATTGCTGTCCGAATTTCATCAAAATCCCTTGTTAGAGCTTCCACATCCGACATGTTTGGCAAGTTATCAAGGTAAGGAACCTCCCTTGAATGAAACAGCACTCGGGACTCATGCACTCTTCGTCTAGGGGGTGGAGCATACTCTCTCGTCAAATCATGTCCTTCCTTGTCATCCTCCTCATCACCATCCTCACGATGAAAGGGTGTATCGTCTCCAGATTCATCAGCATTGTTATTGTAATCACTGTTCTCTTCCTCACTCTGTGCATTTGCCAGATCCCGATTTAATACGTCGTCTTCGGGCAATTGAGTGAGTACATTTGCTTCAACTTGCTCGTTTTCACTGCACAATCAACAAATTAATAAGATGCTAAATTTACAAAATAATTTTCATATAGTCGTATCACTTTACTTACAAGTCGTAATGTGATGAAATTCCATGATGGACATTTTCATGAGGTGATAGCTCCCGGATGGACCACTTTGATCCAACACACCAAAACTATGCTCGGGTTCATTATTTATAAAACTCATATCCGGCTTGTACCCTCTGTTAAATATATGAGCGTTAATACAAATTGAATACAACAAAATTGTACATCANATTAGAATTGTATGTGAACGATTTTTTCAAATACTCTGACCACTTTATATAGGAAATGGCTAGTCCGGAAGGTAGAAATTTTTGGATATATAACGTTTTCTAAACACAAGCTATACATTGAAATAATTGTGATTGTCAGTTCATTTATTGGTGGGGCCAAAATCAGAGGATATCGTTTTCTGTTTGTACGTTATACATATAGCGTGTAACAACAACACGCTATACTTAACGGCAGACGTTACCGTTAATATATAGCGTGTTGTTGTTGCATGCTATATATAAAAATGTCTCTTTTTTTAATACACTTATTTGTGTGTTTTGAGTCCAAACACACATTATTTAGGTTCCGAACTCTAGCGCAAAGCATGTTGTGTTGATTAGGTATATGTCCCATGTTTCAGCTCATTATTCACTGAATTGCGAAACTACATATTGTGTAGATTATAGAAGTATATCACAAGTTTAAACTCATTATCCACCAAATTTCAAATCGTCTACTGAAATTGCTCGATTTTGAAAAAGACTAAATTTACTTACTTTTTTCTAATATTTCCTTTTAGTGAAGTCATCAATTTTGACACTTTAGTATAAAAGAAACTGCAGTATGTTGATCCATAACTTTTTTCATAAAGCAGTTCACATATGGATGTACAATCATATTATTTCCATCAAAAGAAAAAGAAGCATTAATACAACTAATTCCTAGTGCTTAGTCTTACAGAGACAACTCTTTCATGTTTAATTCACCACTATTTACTTTGTACTTCAAAACTTGGTTAAGAAGGAAATCCTGGAAATTGGAGCCAATACAAAACACAAAAGGCAGATCTTTCTTTCCTTCATCACCACACTATCTCCTCTTTCTTTACAGTTTATAAACCCAATCATGCAAACTAACTTTACACTTTTGTCTTTTCTAGAGCCATCTCCTCAAAATCTCTGCCCCATTTTGTCATTCCTTTAGCAATTGACCTACATACATTGCATGATCAAGTGTTATCACAATAAACACCTCAATTAAATATATAAGTAAATTTTAATGAAATGTATATTTTTAACCGCTCCCAAATATAATCGTCAATATATATATGTGTGTGTATTACATACAAAATAAATACATATTTTATACATTTTTTGGCTACCGAATACAATAAGTTACGACCGACAAAGCCAATTTCGTATTTTGCCCTGAATATTAATCATAAATCTTTTAATTATTGTATATCCAAGAATGTGGTCTAACAGTTAAAGAAGTGGGGGATGAAAGTCGGGAAGCTTGAGACTAAATTCCACGAGAGACAAAAATACTAGATATTGTCCATCTGCCTAAGCCCCGGTCGATACTGAATAAATTTATATGATACTTGTGTTGGCGAGAGATAGCAAGTATTCAGTAGAATAATCAACATGCGCATACGCTAGTCCGAAAACCACTATTATTAACAAACAAACAAATAAATAAAGCAACATACGCGTAAGTTGGTTCGAACACCACCATTATCAACAAAGAATTAAATAAATCTTTCTATTATTAAAAACTACACCAATTTTCTCTTTTAAGAGTTCCAATATGAACAGTGGAACTATTCTTAGGAACTTAAAGAACAATTAAAAATAGTCAAAAGCTGTGTAATACTAACCTCATCCTCCACCATACTTAGATTTACTCTTTTTCTTGAAAGCTGATCTTGTAACTAGCAAACAAGCAACTCCCAACCCCACACCAACCATTCCACCCAAAACTATAGCCACTGTCTTTTGAGTACTCTCCCTTGTTCCTACACCATCAACAAATACAGTAGATATTTCAATAATTAAAAACCTTGATCAATTCAAACTTATCTACTACTCCTATTGTGAAAATGATCTCAGAAACACATTAAACAAAAAAAAAAAGAATTTAAATTAATGAAAGCTACTTGGTAATACAAGTCTTAATCAATGCACAAAATACTTCAGGACTATTGCTATGAACATAACTTCACAAAGTCATCAAAAAAGAAACTTCAATTATACAATTACAACTACTACATCTTAGTCGCATCCGAGGGCAGTCTAGTGGTTAATAAAGTATGTTAAAATATAAGAAACAATTTCAATTATGAATTTTAGAAGAGGGAAAAAATATTTGATGATTTCTTTTATCTTTCTAAGCTTAGGCAAATAGAATTACTGAGTTGTCACACCTAGTGAATTAGTGGATGTACATGTAACTTAGCCCTGGCACCATCATTATAAATAAATTTTAAAAAAATACACTATACAATTCCAAAGTAGTTTAAAATCGACCATATGAATCTTCTATATCAATCTTACTTCATTTGAATTCATTTCATTCAATTATTAATTAATTTGTCTTTTAGAACAACATTACTATACCAACTAGAACCTTGGAACAAAGATAAAGTTATTCGCATGACTAGGTTCGAGTCGTGGAAGCGGCCCTAATATTTGCATTAAGGTAGACCGTAGACCGTCTACATCACACCCCTTGAGGTGCGAGCCTTCCCTGAATCCTATGTGAACGCGGAATACCTTGTGCACCGAACTGTCTTTTTATTTATTTATTACTATACTGATAAGTGATAATATTAAAAAATTACCTGATGGAGAAAGTGATTTACTGGGCACACCATTAGGATAATAAGTGTAACTAATATAGCACTGTTGCAGATATATCTGAGCAGAAATAGAATTCCCACATTCACTTTTAGCTTTCCCAACAGCATTTTTCACACAGTTCACACAGTCCCCACTCTCTAAATCACCTTCACACTGACCCAACACATAAACCGACTGATACCCACCTGCATAAAACCCATTCCCACTCGAAACCCCTTTACTTATTTCTCCTAATGCAGTCTCAAGCCTATCACTAAACCCAGTTCCACTCGCCTGAGTTGACCCGCAAACCTTAAACAGCAACTCAGTGGGTCCCACTGTCTGAAACCCAGCAACCTCGTACCTTAAGTAACACCCAATAAGCTGAATTCTTGCTGCTATAGATTCTCCACATAGTTTTTGGGACATGTTTGGTATTTTCTTGACACAATTATTACAGTCAGAGTTTGAAAGATCACCTCTGCATTGAAAAAGACCAGAAATTGCTGAACTGCCACTACCAGCTGTGGTTTTGTAGAATTTTGAGGTTAAAGATTGAGAAACTAAGCTGTCAAAAAGGGTGTTAAGTGTTTGTGAGTAAAACCCAGATGGGAATTTTTGGTTAGCACAGCCTTTGTACACAAAGTTTGTGAGTTGTTCAGATGATGAAGAAACAAGATTAATGGAGAATAATATTGAAGAGAGAAATAAGAAAAGGATGGAGAATGTTTTTTGGGGAATTTGAGATGGACCCATTTTAGGATTTGAATATTGGAATAAGTATAAACATGAGATGAGATGAGATGCTTGTTGGAAGAATTTGATGTGTGTTGGGGGTGGATTTGGTTTTTTGGTGTGTTTCTAGAGGCTATTTATTAGGCTAAGAACAAAGAAGAAAGTGAAATAGTAGTGAACTTTTTTGTAAAGAAAAAAGGGAAATTTCATTAGGGGGCTTTTTTATGGTTATGGGATATAACTTCCTTTTTAAGTACTTAGCCTTGCCTAAATAGTTGGCAATTTTTTTTAATTAAATGAATGCCATGACATGCATTATTATACTATGGTCATTTTTCCGACCAGTTTGCTTGCATTCTGATTATTTAATCGGATATTTGGTTATTTTTTATTTGGACAGAATTATTCTGTTCGTCCTGACTTAGACAAATGAAGAAGAAATTAACTTTTATCTTTGTTGATGTTTAAATTTAAGTTTTCCATAATTTTCACTTACTTAGTTGGCCATTAGGTTATACCTTTGAAAGTTTGAACTCACATCATTTTTAATGGGATTGAATAAATAGATTTCTGGTACTACCAATAATAGTACATGTATCATGTAACCAATGGGTTTAACCGAAATTCCGTCAAATAACACTCACACAAACATACATATATATATAACTAAATTTTAATAAATATTAAATGTTAAATGTTAAATTCATAATTTCAAAAAATACAATGAAATCATTAGTAATAAACTAAAGGTCAAATCTATCAAATTTAATATGAATTTGTCTCTGACTCTTAATATTAGTTGTCGATAGAGAGCCCGTTTGAATTTACTTATTTGAAGTGCTTTTAAGCTAAATAACTTTTAAGTCATTTTGTAGTATTCGAATAAAGTAAAAATTGTTTTTAAGCACTTGTATTAAAGCTAAAATGACCCAAAAAAGTCAAAATTTAAATTTATAACTTATGATTTATGCTTGAAAGTCACTTTAAGAGCTCGTTTAGATTAGATGATTGTAAATAGCTGATAAGCTTGAACTTTGAAGTGCTGAAAAATATTTTTAAGTGCTGAAACTTATTTATTAAATAAGCATTTATGTGTTTGGATAGACGTGCTGAAACTAATAATAAGCAGATGATGTGTTTGGTAGAAAAAAAAGTAATAAGTTACTATTTATTAAAATGACTAAAGTATCCTTAAAAACTTTACAAAATATTATAAATTAAAAAGATTGTTTTTTGTAAAGAAAAAGATGAACAACGAATATGGAATGAAAAAAAAGTTAGAAAATTTATTTTGGGAAAAATATTTTGTGAATTAGAAAATATTATTAAAGATAAACTAGTAAAAGTCTTGGTCAAACTAAAAGTGCTTATAAGTTAAAAAATCATAAGTTGCGGGTGACCAACTTATAACTTATGGCTGATTTTAGCTTATAAGCAAATCACTTTAGGTATTTACCAAGCGCGACATAAGTCAAAAAGTACTTATACGCCAATTTCTTAGTCAAACACCCTCTAAATAAGCTCATCCAAACGAGCTCAGAAATTTGTTCTCACTCACTTCCCGTTGTTATACCCAACTCCTTTTCTTTAGTTAAGTTTAAAAGAAATCATACTTTGCAAAACTTTCTTAACAGAGTAAAAAAATGTGTAATCAAATAGTAAATCTTATGACAGTCATTAATGCCATATTTTATTGGAATTTCATATAGTTTCTGGTACTAATTAGTAGGCAAATGAACAAACAGAATGTGATTTGCCTGCCAAATGTACGACAGTGTCTGGCTAATGAGCAGCGAGGAAAAGGAGAATGTGATTTGTTTGCCTTTTGGTTGGGACATTTGGCTCTGTTACTTATAACATCGTAAATTTATAACTGTATATCAGTATTATATGACTAATAAAGATTGAAAGGAAATGAGGTGAAAATAGGAGACTGACAATCTATTGATACTGCAAAGTATAACCGTACGAAATTGTTAGGTAATAACTAGGGCGAGAACAACGAGTTGTGTACCTTATTGACGCAGCGGAAACTGTTGAACTCACCACCAAAGAAATTGCCTCAAATCGTATTCTGAATCTCCAGGAAACAGAGTTTTTGTTCACAAACTAGATGCCTAAAGTTTACTGTGTTCTTACATTTTTTTTTCGCCAAGGGAGAATCTCTATACCGAAGAGAAATATATAGAGAAGAGGAGATGGGGAGAACTACCGATAACCTTTTGTTTCTACGTTGCCACTTCTTTTTAACGTGTGACACTTCTCCTATCCTTATGGGTGTTAATTATCTTCCCTACTAATATTAACTTCCATCCGCCTTATCTCTTATAAGTGGGTCGGGTCATTCCATATGGGCGACCCGTAACTTAAACCCAATATCCTATAGAAATAAATGTGGGTCCTTTCGGGAATGACCCAATTGGTTTGTAGGGCGGTCATCCATACAAGTGATTTGGGATCGATCCCCCTCAATGCCTTGTAGGTCGAGTCTGTTGCCTAGTGCACTTTACATTCCCTATATGGTTTGCATGTTATTACACAGTGGAAAGTTTACTCAATACGCATAGAGTGCTCAATTTTTCGGGGTTCAAAAAAAAATGTGGAAAATGCCCCCTGCATGGGAAAGGGGAGGGGCAAAAAACAACAGATTGTCCGGTTGGTTGAAATGAGGGACGTGCACACAATGCACATTGCATTCCAACAACAACAACAATAACAACCCAGTATAATCCCACTTAGTGGGGTCTGGGGAGGGTAGTGTGTACGCAGACCTTACTCCTACCCTAGGGTAGAGAGACTGTTTCCAAATAGACCCCCGGCATCCTTCCCTCCAAGAACTTCTCACCTTGCTCTTGGGGAGACTCGAACTCACAACCTCTCGATTGGAAGTGGGGGTTGCTTACCATCAGAGCAAGCCCTCTTGTAACTTAAACATTGCATTCCATTCATTCAAAAGCGTTTTTCGATATTTAGTTGAAGATAAATATTTTTTATATTGTTAATAATATTTATAACTTAAATTCGTAGCTAATTGGAATTTTAACTGGTAGCCTAATCTGAATATTCAATGGAAAGATTTAAGAATTAAACATTCATGTGTTCATTCTAAAAGGCTAATCCAAAATGATGTCTTTTTTTTAAGCAATCCACTGCGCAGAGCCTAGGGCTAGTTTTATATATATAATGAAATTAAGAAAAACAAAGTGTCATGAAATCGTAAGAAATGAAAAAATACCTATTATCAAATTGAGTAAAACACTCAACAATGATAGCACATGAGATCTAATGTAGCATTTATTAATAAAAACTAGCCCATGAAGCCCGTTAATCTTAATGTCTTCTTGAGAAATCCGCTTCTTGCACGAATAGCCTCTATCATGAATGGCCACTGCCCAGTTCTTGCCACAATAGCCTTCTTCATTGCTAGCCACTGCCCAGTTCCAATGCTTGCACAAGTAGCCCACTTCCTTTTGCAACAAAATAGCCACTGAATATCGCAATGTGTTGAAATAGTGCACTGTCCATGAATGTACAAGTGCACTGCCATTGCGATAATTTTTGCGTGAATTCCTTGGTCTATTTCTTGCAAACTTTGGATGTATAACTTCTTGTAAAGTGCCAGCCATTTGCTTCCCCCATTGTGAATCCAAAGCTCCTGAAAAATGTTTCCAACAACAAGCTATCCAGCAATGCCTAACATTGTGTAACACGTGAAACTGGCCGTGCGTCGCCAGGTTCAAAGCGTGCTGGAGCTGGCGTCTACCCTCGCGTCGCCAGGTCTTTAGCGAGATGGACCTGGCAAAATCCTTTGCGTCGTATGGGAGTTTTCTCGCTACTGGATGCACTAGGCCAGGTCTACAACAATGATAAACCCTGGGCGTCGCCAGGTATATAGCGAGGTGGAGCTGGCGCATTCCTTGGCGTCGCCTGGTGGTTGAGCTCGCTACTGGTCGTGATAGGTGTGCTCTTAGGCGTGCTGGGAAGCTCGCTGGGCCTGCTAATGTTGCTTGCCTTTGTTGTTGCGCCTCCAACACCCAAGCCTGTGACAATATATCACTTTGCCAAACTTGTTGCATGCTATGAATATTCATTTTCCTCCTTTGTTTCATGCTTGTGCATGTCATCTTTCCTCCTTCAAGGGAATGAGCACATAGTGCTAATACCACCCATAGAAGTCGTAATAAATGGCAAGGCATGAATACAATAACGTCTCCTGCAAAAAAGAACACAAGGTTAGTAGAAAAAAATGATCATCATGTATTCCTCCCGAAGGATTTGTACATGATGATCTAATGAATTCTCCAGCTCTCTACTCCGCTTTTCCTCCTTAATCCTTAATTCTTTGCAACTTTTACCCTTAAATATGGACATTGGAGCTTATCATTATTCACTATCCTCCTTCCTTGTACATCCAATTGTGCAAAGCATTCAACTTCAATATTGCTATGATCAAGTGTGTAATTAGCAAGGCGGTCTGCCATCATATTGCCTTCTCGAAAAATATGTGATATCTTAGCCTCACACACCTCCATTAATTTCCATATTTCCTCAACATATTCAACAACCATCCATGGTGGTTTCCATATCCTTTCAATTACATTTTTGAGCATCATTGAATCAGTTTGTTTCTAAATGTGTGTGATATGCCTTTGAGAACAAATTCTCAAGGCCTCCAGAACTGCCAAAGCTTCAGCTACTGTATTAGTGTTCTCCAGAATTTCCCTACCACATGCATACACCACATCTCCAAGTTCATTTCTCATACAAAAACCAATAGCACTTCTACCTAGATTTCCCCTAGAAGCCCCGTCAGTATTTACCTTAATCCATCCATCCCTCCCTAGGCAGTTCCCAAAGCACCTTGTGCACTTGTAATTTAGGTGTATAATTCTCCAGTAAATGTACCACATCAAGCCATCTATGAGGGACCTGCTTGATTCCAAGCTTCCTATACTTCACAAGTGCTTGAATGGTGGAAGACACTTGGTATATCACCCTATTAATCGTAACAGTTTCATCATGTTTATAACTATTTCTCCTCTTCCATAACTCCTATACAACGATACATAGCAATGCTTGAAAAATAGGTCTAAATCTTGGAATAACTTGTATTGTCCAATACTTCACCACTGCTTGGTGCAAGTTCAGCTCTTCCAAAATTAATCCAGCAAAGGAAAAGAAATATGATCATACCTTTGATGCAGCATATGATTTGAAGAAGACATGTTCTCTTGTTTTCACTTCTGGATCTGTACAACACCAACACCTTGAAGGTGAAAAGTAA